GAGCAGGGGATATTTTTCCATTTCCTCACATCCTCTTTTATTTCCTGAAGCAGCGTTTTGTAGTTTTCTTTGTACAGGGCCTTTACTTCCTTAGTTAAGCTAATTCCTAGGTAGTTGATTTTCTGGGGTACAGTTATGAACAGGATTGTTTTGTTCATGTCTTCTCTCTCACTACTTGCATATAGGAAAGCCATGGACTTTTGGGTATTGATTTTGTAGCCTGCAACTTTACTATACAAGTCTATCGTTTCTAGGAGTTTCTTGGTAGAGGTTTTAGGGGTTCTCTAAGTATAGTATTATATCATCTGCAAATAGTGAGAGCTTGATTTCTTCCTTTCCTACTTGGATGCCCCTAATATCTCTTTCTTGCCTAATTGCTATTGCAAGTACTTCCAGTACCATACTGAACAGTAGTGGAGAGATTGGGCATCCTTGTCTCGTCCCTGATCTTAGGGGGAAGGCTCTCAGTTTTTCCCCATTGAGGATGATGATTGCTGTATGCTTTTGGTAGATGGCTTTAACTATATTGAGGAAAGTCCATTCTACCCCCAATTTGGCAAGGGTTTTCACCATAAATGGGTGGTGGATCTTGTCAAATGCTTTCTCTGCATCTATTGATATGATCATATGATTTTTATCTTTTCTTTTGTTGATATGATGAATTATGTTGATTGATTTCCGAATGTTAAACCATCCTTGCATCCCTGGGATGAATCCCACTTGGTCATGTTGTATGATCTTTTTGATGAGTTGTTGAATTCTATTTGCTAGGATTTTGTTCAGAATCTTCGCATCCATGTTCATCAGGGATATCGGCCTGTAGTTTTCTTTTTTTGTGGTGTCTTTGTTTCCTTTTGGTATTAGAGAGATATGGGCTTCATAGAAACTGTTCGGGAGAGTTTCTGTTTTTTCAATTTCCTGGAAAAGCTTGAGAAGAACTGGCAATACGTCCTCTTTCAATGTTTGGAAAAATTCGCCAGTGAATCCATCTGGACCTGGGCTTTTGTTTTTGTGAAGACTTTTGAGTACAGTTTCAATTTCCTTGATGTTAATAGGTCTATTCAGGTACTCTATATCTTCTTGACTCACCTTTGGGAGATGGTAGGAATCCAGGAATTTATCCATTTGTTCTAGGTTCTCTTGTTTTGTGGCATACAAACTTTCAAAGTAGTCTCTGATGATCTTTTGAATTTCTTTGGTTTCTGTTGTGATATCTCCATTCTCATTTCTGATTCAGTTTATTAGGCTTCTCTCTCACTATTTCTTTGTGAGTGTTGCTAGTGGTTTATCTATCTTGTTCATTTTCTCAAAGAACCAGCTCTTGGTTTCATCGATCTTTCGGATTGTTTCTTTGGTTTCCATGTTGTTGATTTCTGCTCTAAGTTTTATGATCTCTTTTCTTCTGCCCGATTTGGGCTCCTTCTGTTGATCCTTTTCTTTCTTTTTTTTTTTTTTTTTTGCTTTTTGGGTCACACCTGGCAATGCACAGGGGTTACTCCTGGCTCTGCACTCAGGAGTTACTCCTGGCGGTGCTCAGGGGACCATATGGGATGCTGGGAATCGAACCCGAGTCAGTCGCATGCAAGGCAAACGCCCTGCCCGCTGTGCTATCTCACCAGCCCCCCTGTTGATCCTTTTCTAAGGTCTTGAGCTGTGTAGTCAAGTTGTTTATGTGCACCCTTTCTTCCGTCCTCAGATATGCTTGCAGGGCTATAAATTTTCCCCTTAATATGGCTTTCGCTGCATCCCATAAATTCTGGTCGCTCGTGTCTTCATTCTCATTTGTTTCCACATACCTTTTGATTTCGTCCTTGACTTCCTTCCTGATCCACTTGTTGTTCAGCAGTGAGTTGTTTAGTTTCCAGGTATTTGATTTGGTTCTCCATGTTTGTGTGTGATTCACTTCTATTCTCAGTGCATCATGGTCTGAAAAGATTGTTGATACTACTTCTATCTTCCTGATTCTATTGAGGTATGTTTTGTGGGCTAGCACATGGTCTGATTTGGAAAATGTTTTATGCGCACTGGAGAAGAATGTGTATTCTTTCTTTTTGGGGTTTAAAGCCCTGTCTAGGTCTATAAGACCTTTCTCTTCTATTTCTTCATTCAAAGCCAATGTTTCCTTGCTGAGTTTTGTTCTTGTTGATCTATCCAGAGGTGATAAGGCAATATGGAAGTCTACAGCTACTATTGTTTTGCTAGCAATGTCCTCCTTAAAATCTGTTAGCAGTTTTTTTAAATATCTAGCTGTTACTTCATTAGGTGCATATACATTTAAGAGTGTGATTTCTTCCTGTTGTACATATCCCTTGATGAAGAGAAAATGGCCTTCTCTAACTCTTCTAATCTTTTTCAGCCTGAAATTAATGTTGTCCGATACTAGTATGACCACCATTGGGCTACTTCTGAGCTAGAAACAAGGTACTTTTAAAATCACATCTTCAAATAATGAAAGCATCTCATGGTGATTCAATTAAAAAATATTCACATCTTCGGTTTATTACTTCCCTCCAAACGCAAAGTGGGTGCAGTGAGGTTGAGGAATGCTTATTTACCTGCCTGCAACAATTTTCTCTTTGACATGAAGAATATATTCAATATATGCTTAATGAATATGTGTTTTCATTACTTACACATCTTGATAGCATACTAATTTTCATTTTTTAATCAGGTTAGGCAATAATTTTTTTTTGTTTTGTTTTGCTTTTTGGGTCACACCCGCGCTGCTTAGCGGTTACTTCTGACTTTGCACTCAGGAATTCCTCTGGCGGTGCATGGGGGACCATTCGGGATGCTGGGAATCAAACCCGGGTCCGCCGTGTGCAAGGCAAATGCCCTACCTGCTTTGCTATCGGTCCAGCCCCAATAAATATTTTTTATATGAGAAGAGAGCGAGGCTTGTTTAGCTACCAAGGTCTGAAAGGTAGCGCTTTTATATATAATTTTTCTTTTTGGTTGAGATTTCAAATGGCAATGTTGCTGTGTTTCTTTTTTTGTTGCTGTGCTTCTTATTTTGAAACTCTTTAAACCTCCAGATACAAGTGGAACAGTATAGAAGCATAAATTTTCCTCGTGAAGTATGTGCACGTATATTTATTTAAGAACCTCTCCCATCCCCTCACTTTTTGGTATGGTCACTGTTTTCTGCCCTCTATTTCAATTTCTGCCTTTGCAATATAGTCGAATCTGTTCTCTAAAATGTAAATTTGATCATGTTAGTTCCTTACTTAAAAATCCTACAGTTTAATGATTGCCAAATTAAATTCATACTCCCTCAGTCTTAAGGCATTCACATCTGTTTTTCCATCATATGCATTTACTACTTAATTTGAGGTATTAAGCATCTCACAATCCCCCAATACAAGGCTTTTTTTTGGATTATTTCCTTTACCCAACAAAGGTTTTTAGGACCACCTTTGCTTCACCACATCGATCATGATCACAACCATCCTGTTATTCCTCGATTTCCTCGAGCAGGCCCCAGTAACGTCTCCTTCGTCCTAGCCCTGAGATTTTTTAAAAAGTGCCAAATTCAAGGCTCTTTCAGGGTTAGGAGAATGAGACCCATCATTGTTCCTGGTATTTGGCATATTGGGTACGCCACGACGAGTTTGCCAGACTCTGCTGTGTGGGCAGGTTACATTCGGTAGCCTGCCAGTTTGTCCAAAGTAGGAATGAGATAATAAGAGCTGGGTTTTATAGTCTCTGAGTCTTGGCCGTTGATGGGATTACACATAAGGAGGTAGAACTGATTACCCCTTTTTTGTGGCCACATTTCAAATTTATGTTGTTTGTATCGGGGCTGGAGCGATAGGACAGCGGGTAGGGTGTTTGCCTTTGCACACGGCTGACCTGGTCAACTTGAGTTCGATTTCTCCACCCCTCTTTGAGAGCCTAGTATGTCTGCCACTTGGCAAAACCTGGCAAGCTACCCGTGACTTATTGGATATGCCAAACACAGTAACAAGTCTCACAGCGAGACATTACTGGACCCGCTGGAGCAAATTGATGAACAACGGGAGGATAGTGCTAGTGCTAGTGCTAGTTACTTGTATCACTGTATTGAACTTGTTTTTATTCATGTATCCTAGGCCCCACCTCACCTCTCAGTAGGGCATACCAATGTACACACGTAGTGTCAAGCCTCTTATTCAGTCAATGAATGAAATGATGTAAGGTAGTAGAAGCACATGAAGAAAAGGAAAGCTAAAGAGGAAGCTCTTTTCATACTATGTGCATAATCAGGGGCATACAGATGGCAAAACAAGAGGAGGAATCTCAGCCTTAGGCGCACAAGAAGACCCAACAAGCATGCCTGACCTTCTGAGGTAATAACATTATCTGGTCGGAAAGCCTCTTGAATGGACAGTGTTAAATTTGGAAGCAAAGGCAGTTTCCCGCTGAGGAAGGAAGGTGTTAAACTATGAACATATGTATCTCAGGTTTTCAAGCAATTCTGTCTCGACACCTGTACTCGGTTATGGCCTTCCCTGCGGACAGTGAAACTGGCTGTGAGAATTTCGCGCGCTCAACACCAGGACCGTCATTCAAATTGGCTCATCAGCCGCCTTCAAAGCTCCTCCTCACCGCGGGCCCACTCTGCAGTTCCTGCAGGAGTGCGTAGTGCGCCTGCGCGGTCGCGGGCTCCGGGCTCTGAGACTAGTTCTCAGCGAGTTACTGCCCGCTGCAGGGCGGGGGGCGGAGCGTAGAGAGGCAGGGGGCGGGTCCGGTTCGCGGCGTGGGCGGGGCTCGGAGAAGAGGTCGGGGCCGGCCGCGGCAGTGGGCGGAGCGGGGAGAAGAGGGCAAGTCCGGTTCGCGGCGGTGGGCGGAGCAGGGAGAGGAAGGGGCGGGCCCGGGAGGCAGAGCGGTGGGCGGAGTGGGGAACGGAGGGGGCGGGGCCGGCGGCGGCGGTGGGCGGGGCGGGGAGCGGAAGGGGCGGGCTCAGCCGCGGACGAGGAGGAACCCACTTGCGCCCGCCGTCGCGCGTTCGCTCTCCCCGGGTTTGCCCAGGCCGCCCTGGCGGGCGCCGCGGCGCTCGGGTGCAGGGGCGATGCGGCGCTATCTCCGCCTCGTGGTGTTGTGTCTCGCCTGCGGCTTCTGCTCGCTCCTGTATGCCTTCAGCCAGCTCGTCGTGTCCCCGGAGGAAGGGGTGGGCGGCGGCGGCGGCGGGAAGCCGCAGGCCGCGCAGGCTTCCTGGCTCCCGGGCGCCGGACGCGGCGCCGCGAGAGGGGCGGACGCCCTGAGCCCCGCGACGCCTCCCGGCCATTCCCACAGGTACGGGCAGTTCCCGCCGGGCGCTCGCCTCAGCCCCGCGCCGCGCCTCCTCACGCCGCCTCCTCACGCCGCCTCCTCGCGCCGGCGGCCCGGGTCCCCGACTCCCGCGGCCCGAGCGCACCCCAGCCCGCACTTTAGTGCTGCTTCTCCGGCCGTCCCTGTTCGCTCGCTCGCTCGCGCACACCAGCTCCTTCTGCCTTTCCGGGGCTGAGGAGCGCTGAGGAGAGGCGCCCCGCGGCCAGTGTGGGGCTTCCCTCCGCGGAGTCCGGTAGAGAGACTGAAATTTGTCAGATTGGCACCCTAGTTTCGTTTCTTTCTCCACCCTCCCCCCCCATGTGTCCAAACGACTTTATTTTTTTTTCATTATTAGTCGCGTGATTAAATCCGAACAGAACAGATGCGCGGGATGTGAATTCTTATTTTTGGAACAGTCCATTCTAAAACTTAAAGAAGTTAAGGACAATGAGCAGCATTTAACATGCTCTTGGCCTCGGTGAGTGAGGACGGTCATTAGAAAACAGAACGACCCAAGCATCCTGGCAGGTGCGTTGACGCACATCACGGCCTGGATTGTAATTAACCCTAGGTGTCACTGGCAAAAAAGAATTCAGGGCATTAATGAATGCTGAACAGAATCCGAGTATTTTCCTCGGTCTTGAAAATTAGGCCCTTCTATCTGTGGGTGTTTCTAGCAACAGCTGTTGGGAAACTTTGGTAAGGGAAAGGTAGCGTCAGGAGGAGTAGGGAATGTGGATAAAATGTAGGATGGATAATGAGCCTTTTGAGAGTTGATGGTCGTTCCCCAAATGAGAAGGGAACCTTTTCAAAGGGAAGCTGCCTGGTAAAAAGCCAGGTCTGTTTGTCTTTTATAAGATTTTTTTTTTGGGGGGTCCCACCGGGCAGTGCACAGGGGTTACTCCTGGCTCATGCGCTCAGGAATTATCTCCTGGCAGTGCTCATATGGAATGCTGGGAATCGAACCCAAGTTGGCCATGTGCAAGGCAAATGCCCTACCCGCTGTACTATGGCTCCTGCCCTTCACAAGACGATTTGATTGCAGTAGGAATATTGCTTCGATATCATACTATATTCCTCCGCTCCTCTTGGAGACCCCAGCGAGCTACTGAAAGTATCCCGCCCTGCAGAGCTTGGTGGCCTATTTGATATGCCAAAAACAGTAACAAGAAGACTCTCATTGGAGACGTTACTGGTGCCTGCTTGAGCATATCGATGAACAATGAGAGGACAGTGCTACAGTGCTACTAGACTATAAAAGAACCAATTTCAGAGCTAGATTTGTCACTTCTCCTGGGAGAGGTTGCGACTGAAGAGCCAGAACAAAAACTTAGTGACTTGTATTGGATAGAATTATAAAGAATTTGATTCAGATTATAGGATTTTAATCAGAAGGTTGGAGGACTTATACTTTTCAGTGGTATAGAGTAACATCCAGTTATAGTGTTTTTGTCTCAGGTACTTTGTTTTTGACAGATTTTTATAAATTGTATTTTCTTACCCAGCCAATTTTAGCAAAATTGTGTCATTTGAAAATGCAGCCGTTTTTAATATTTTATATATTAATATTTTATATATTTTTAATATCATTTCAGATGTGTTAGTTGGGTCCATTAAAAATGATTTGTATATTACAGTGCTACAGGTCTTAAGAGTAGCATAACTTCTCATTTAATTTTGCTTTATATACTTTTCTTTAGTAGGGGTGAACCCAGCAGTATTTGTGGGCTTAGGGGTCACTTTGATGATGCTTGGAAGGCAGAGTCATCAGGATTGCTGCAAGGAAGGAAACATGGTATTAGGAATGAGCTCTATCACATGCAAAGTATGTGGTCCAACTCCTTATTTTATTTATTTATTTTCGCTTTTTGGGGTCACACCTGGCGATGCACAGGGGCTTACTCCTGACTCTGCACTCAGGAATTACTCCTGGTATTGCTCAGGGGACCATATGGGATGCTGGGAATCGAATCTGAGTTGGCCGCGTGTAAGGCAATGCCCCACATGCTGTACTATCACTCCAGCCCCTTCAACTCTTTATTTTAAATGAAGCATACATCATGGCATGTGCTTCTGTGAGATCTGGGCAGAAGAGTTACATGGAAAAACTAGAGTATTACACATACCATATTATTTTAAGGAGATTAGACATTAGGACTATTATACTCAGGTAAGTATAATATTAAGAGATCTTAGGTTATAGTCAGTAGGTTCCATTGATTTTTTTTTTTTTTAGAAACTGTTCACTACATGGAAGTCCATGACCCAAAATATTTTGAAATAAATCTTTTAATATTTTCTTTTCTTTTTTCTTTTACTTTAAAAATTTTTTAATTGGATATCCCTGAGATAGACCATTGAAAGGCTGCTCATAATTGGATTTCAGTCATACAATGATCCAGCACCCATCCCTCCACCAGTGTACATTTCCCACCACCAATGTCCCCCATTTCTCCTCCACCATTCCCCAACCCCCACCCCCTACCCCCAGCCTCCCTCTACAGGAGGCACTTTCCTTCTTGCTCTCTCCATTTCCTTTTATGCATTATGATTTGCAATACAGGTGCTAAGAGGTCATGGTTGTTTGGTATTTTTATGAGATGGTATGGCTGGAGTAACTTCTCAATTGGGTGGCAGCTTTGAGGTGTGGATGTGACTGCCGAGGTTTCCAGAAGTACAGAAAGGTGGGGGGAGGTAGCCCCTCCATACCTGAGAAAGCCTGGAGATTTCAGTTACAAAACCCACATACCAAAATTTCAGCAGATTATATCTTGGTGAGGTGCGTCCTGAGACAGTGGAGTCAGCTTGGGAGTATGGTGGCGATTTTGTATTGTGAAAGCAAGTGGCTGCTAGGGGCTCTGCTTGGTTGGGCACAGGCCAGTCTGCTCCCCCCTCTAGTTTACTCCAATCTGTTCAGCCATGAATGGGTCCGAGCTTAACTGTGGCATTTGATATCTTTTGAGATTTATTTATGGGTCTCTGAAGCAAGCCGGTAGTAGAGCTTAAAGGGTGGCGCTAGAGTTTGTTTATGGGGGTGACTGCCAGTGCTTCCGTGAGTATTGGGAAGTGGGGGGAGGTAGGCCATCCCAGCTCTGTGAAAGCCTGGAGATTTCATTCACAAAACCCGGATACCAGAATTTTCAGCAGATTATATCTTGGTGAGGTCTGTCCTGAGACATTGGAGTCAGGCCAGGAATATGGCTGCAATTTTGGATTGTGGAACCAAGTGGTTGCTGGGGGCTCTGCTTGGACGGGCCACCAGGGCACCCAGCCCTCTCCATTGTAATTACCCCAGTCTGTTCAGCCATGTGCGGGTTCTAGATTAACTGTGGCTTTTGATCTCTTTAGAGATTTATCTATGTGTCTCTGAAATAAGGCCAATAAATGAGCTTGTATAGCTGAGCTGGAGGTGGTTTATGGGCATGGCTCCCACATACCTAAATTTTGGCCATTAGTTTCTTGGTAAACTTGGTCCTAAATTGTTGGGGTCTGGCCAGAGGTGCAGCAGCAATTTTGGGGTTTCAGGAAGCCTGAAGGCATCATCAGGCTGCCGATGCACTCATCCCATAGGTACAGGTTGACCTGTTGGCGACACCATTCCCCCATTTTAATATATTCAAAGTAAAACACTCTTTTAAGTTCTCTTATGTTGAATACATTAGGTATTTAGAAAATGCTTAGGGTGGTTTGTGTGTTTTGGTTTTATTTTTTTTGGCCACACCTGGCAGTGCTCAGTGATTACACCTGACTCTGCTCAGGAATCACTCCTTGCAATGCTTGGGGGATCACATGGGATCTGGGGTTTGAACCTATTCGGGAGGTGGGCGGGGGATGGCTACATGCAAAGGCAAGCTGCTTGTTTGCTATACTATTTCAACCATGCAAAAATGCATAGGTTTTTGTGTCAAACAAATCTGTGTTTTTAATTCAGGGTCTGGTGTAGAATCCTGCCCCCCTCTCTGCTTGTTTTCTCAGCTGTCAGATATACATCATTAGCTAACTTCTTAGTTGCCAGTGATTACAGTCTATCAATACTGATAATTAGCAGGGGCTAGAGATGACTCAGTGGTGTGCTGGGACCTGAGTTTGAATCCTGGCACCACATTCTCACTACCCTCCCAACCCCAACATCACTATGGTTAGTCCTGGAGGCCCCCAAGCGTTGGATGCCATAAGAGCTCAAACTCTAGCATTGACCTGTCTACCACTTGGCCAGGAATTGCTGATGTAGTACCTGGTCCTTCCTGAGGACTACTTGGGAATTATCCCCCCCCTCAAAAAACAAAACAAAACCTAACTTGAACAAAATGGTTCAGGCTATAATTAGCAGAATTAATTAGAATTCTGAATGAAGAAAGTTGAGAAAACATGCCCAGGGAATTTCCAGGGATCGTGAGTACTGCGTACTCATTCAGTGTAGACCGGTTTTGTTCTTGGGGTCTTCTAGCTATTCACAGAGTGAATCTTCGATCTCAAATAGAAAATTCTTGAGAAAAGCCTTTGTAAAATTGCTTTGTCCATCCTTGGAATGGAGGCCTTTGTTGTGTCTGCATTTCAATTACTTACACTTTCATAAGGTAGAATAACAGTGATTGCTGTGAAAGAAGAGGGGTGCCACAGAGGAGAGGAATGCCAGGGGGGCTGTTGGTCTCCACAAAGTCTCAAGCTATTCAAAATGGAAGGACTCTTTCCGGGTAGTGGTTATAAAACAGTTGTTACTAGACATCAGTTTGTTTTTTTTTTCCCTGTAGAAAGAGTTACACCATTCTATGACTTTAGCTATTCATTGTGATAAAATTGACATAACTTACCTTGAATATTAAAATAGTGATTATTAGATTTTGTTCTTTGTGGCTATATAGTAGTGTCAATAGATAATCAACTCAAGGGGCCAGAGAGGTAGTACATTGGGTAAGTTGCTTGACTTGCATGCGGCTGACCCAGATTTGATCCCTGGCACCCCCTATGGTCATATGGTCCCTTGA